ATCTCTAAAATTCCCCCACCCTTTTTATAAGGTTTTTGCTATAGGGTGCGTGCTCTTACCAGAGACAGAGAGAGAGGGGGAAAGTGAGAAATTATCCCCCAAAACAGATGGCCATGCTGCAATCTTTTCTCCTCCATTCTCCTCCTGGGATTTTTGGGAATGCACACACATGTACCCAGTGTGATTTTTAAGCCAGTGAGTCCAAGACTCAAACCATGGTTTGCCACATGTGATTCCAGCACCGTAACAACTATGCCACCTGTTGGCCCCAAATCCCCCCTTTTTAATAATTATTTTTATTTAACTTTACTTATTATTATTATTATTATTGCTTTTTAATTTGACCAGAGAGACAAAGAGAAGGAAAATGAGAAAGCAAGTGGCTAGGTCTGGGACTCAAACTGCAGTCAACCATGTGGGAGTCCAGCGCCCTAAACTGCCATGTCACCTGCCCGTCACCCCCTTTTCTAAGGAGGGTAAGCATGAGCCCCAGAGACAGAGGAGAAAACATCCCCAAGGGGGCAAGGCCGAGCTGCAATCCCTTTTTTTTCCACTTCTCCATTCTGTCAGTATTTAAGGGACAAACCTACCCATGCCTTGTTTTTCAAGTTGCTGGGGCCAGGATTTGAATGGTGGTTAGCCATATGAAATCTGGCTCCCTCAACCATTAGGTATTGGTGGTGCCCAAAATCTCTTTTTATAATATAATTGATTAAATCCAGTGAACTTGGAAGGGCACTGGGAATTTGAGTAATTACTCAGATACAATTTTATTAGTATGGTACAATTTCCATTATTTTATGCTACTCTGAATTTTAATTTTCAGTTATTGGAATTCTATCACTGCATTAAAAAAAAGTAACCCAAAAGAATGGTAATAATCGAGTGTATCAACATCCATTATCACTTACTTTTTGTTAGAAATTGAGATTAAAGGTGGCAAGACAATTACCATTCTATGTAAAGCAGAGCTCTGGGAACAGTAGATGCTAATGGTTACATTGCTGGACTCCCACATGGCCAACCATGGTTCAAGTCCTGGGCCCGGGGGGCTTGAAACTCATGCCAGGCATGTGTGTGTGCATACCCCAAAATCCCAAGAAAATGGACAAGGGATTGTGGCGTAGCCATCCCACCTGCTGGGGTGATTTCTTGATTTCTCTCTGGTGAGTGCACACGCCCTATAGCAAAAATCTCTCTTAAAAAGCAGAGCTCTTGGGACGAGCAGTTGGCATAATGGCTATGTTACTGGAATCCCATGTAGTCGACTGTGGTTCAAGCCCCGGACCCAGTAGCTTAAACTCACGCCAGGCACGTGTGCATGTGTGCCAGCCAAGATCCCAAGAGGAGAATGTAGGAGAAGGAATTGTGGCGTGGCCGTCCCCCATGGGGGTGATTTCTCGCTTTCTATCTCTCTGTTTTTCCCTTTGTGGCGAGCCCCGTTCCCCTAAAAAAAAAAAAAAAAAAAAAAAGCAGAGCTCTATTTGTAGAATGTCTCTTTATAGAAGTATTCCAAATGGCAAATTGAAGAAAGTGATAGAATTAGATCATCACTAGGACCAGCAGTTGGTATGATGGTTAGGGTGCTGGACACTCTCCCACATGGCTGATCATGGTCAAGTCCCGGACCTGATGGTTTGCTTTCTCATTTTCCCTCCCTCTCTTGCTTTCTGTCTCTCTCTCTGGTCAAATTAAAATAAATGAATGAATAAAATTAAAATAATTATTAAAAAAAGAATTAGATCATGACCATTTTTAAACCCTAATGAATTAATGAATCTAAGGAATGATTACCATTGGCTATTATTTATGATAAAAGAGATTTTTGGAGATACACATAGGTCATTAAGAATACTTAACTGGGTCCTAGCAGACAGTGTAATGGTTATGTGGCTGGACTCCCATGTAGTCAACTGCGGTTCAAGTCCTGGACCTGGCCATTTAAAATTCATGCCGGATGCGTGTACATCGTGCCCAAAATCCCAAGAGGAGGAGGGACTGCAGCATGGCCATCATTCCTCGGGAGTGATTTCTTGTTTTCTGTCTGCCTCTTTTTTGCAAACACATGCACCATATAGCAAAATCTCCTAAAAAAAAAAATTACTTAATTGGGGGCCAACAGGTGGCAGGGTGGTTAAAGTGCTGGATTCCCATATGATTGACCATGGTTCAAGTCTCAGATCTGGCAGCTTGAAGATCATACCAGGTATGTGTGTGTGTATGTGCTCAAAACCCCAAGAGGATAATGGAGAAGGGATGTAGCATGGCCATCCTTCTGGGGTATGATTTCTCACTTTCCTTCTCTCACTCTCTGTGAGCCACACACAACCTATGTCAAAAACCTAAAATCAGGGAACCAGCAGTTAGCGTAATGGCTATGTCGCTGGACTCCCACTTAGTCGACCGCGGTTCGCATCCTGGACCCGGTGGCTTAAAACTCACACCGGGTGCGTGTGAGTGCATGCCCAAGATCCCAAGAGGAGAATGGAGAAGGGATTGTGGCGTGACCATCCCCCCGGGGTGTGTGTGGGAGGCTGTGCACCGGCGAGTCTGCCGAGGTTTCTCAGGGAGCAAACAATTACCATGATTGGTTCCCTTCAAAAAAACCTGACCTTCGAAACCTTGCTCTGATCGGCCACTAGAATCCCTCAAATTTGCATATCCGGCACCTCATGATTGGTCCAAAAGCAACCAATCACGACTCACCATTTACAACCAATCAGGGCCCACCGTTTACAACCTGCCAGAGTGTATATAACCACGATGCCTGGCCCACAGTAGCCAGACGACTACGACGACGACGACCAGGAAGACGACAACTGAAGAGCCTGAAGAGCCTGAAGAGCTGAAACACCACGCAGTCTCCAGACAACTTGGAAGACCCTGAAGAGCTGTGACACCCCCGCATCGTCTCTGTGCTGCTCACAGTAGACGACGCGACCCTTAAGAGCTGTGACACCACGTCGTCTCCGTGCTGCTCACGGTAGACGACGCGACCCTTAAGAGCTGTGACACTGCGTCGTCTCCGTGCTGCCCACAATAAACGGACGACACTGTCGTCTCCGTGTTGTAACACTACGCCACTTGTCCCGGCTCTCACTCCTTCACTCAGAAAACCTGTTCAGCTGTCCCCCCGGGTCGGGACAGAGGTGATTTCTTGCTTTCTGTCTCTATGTCTCTGTCTGTCTGGCGAGCACACGCGCCCTATAGCGCATGTGCCCTATAGCGAAAAACCTCTCAAAAAAAAAAAATAAAAGAAAAAAAAAATAAAAGAAAAACCTAAAATCAAACAAACCAAAATAACAGTGAGGAGGCAAGCTTTTGCCTATCAATGCAAATTTACACTTACGTTTGCCTGTTACATTAGCACAACTCATTTAAAAATGGCAATGCGAGAACATATTCAATAAATTATATATTGTCATACAAAAGAAGGGCAAAACTGAACTGGTTGGTATGACCTCCACTTTATAATAATGTGTAATATCTGACAGCTCTTGCATGAGCTCCACACTTAATGCACAGACAAGGTAAGCAAGTGTCGAGTACAGTACTCTCCCCTTATCGATGATGTTACCCAATGAACTGCAGTCCAAAAATATTAAGTCCAGAAATAAGCAATTTATGTTATGTTATGCTATCAATTTATGATAGCAAGTGCTATCATACCATGCTCAATTATACGCCATCCTTTTCAGGACATGAATCACCTGTTTGCCTAATGCTTCCATGATATGTGTGGTACCTGTCCATTAGTAGCTGTCTGTTGAGATAGGAAAATATAGTCTGTATAGGGCTCCATACTAACTGTGGTTTCAACCAGCCACTGGGCCTTAGAACGTATCTCCCACCGGTAAGGAGGGAAAGTGCAGAATCACCCCCAGAAGGCATGGCCTCAGGCAATCCATTCTCCTCTTGAGATTTTAGACAGGCACACGTATATGCGCCTGGTGTGATTTTCAAGCAGCTGGTTCAAGACTGTGGTCATTCATGTGGCAGTCCAGCACGTGAACCACTACACCACCTGCTGGCCCCTGGTACATTACACTTTAAAAAGATGCTTTTAAAAAATTGTAAATGGGGTCATAGTGTACAAATTGTTCTATAATCTCCTTTTCCTAACATACCTTCAAAAGCAGACCATTATCAATTATCTGACATCAAAATGTTTCAGCTTTATTTTGTATTAAATTTTTTTAAGACAAGCCTTTCGCTCAGGCTGGCTTCACCTTCCAATCTTTCAGCCTCAGTCTCCCAAGTAGCTGGAATGACAGGCAAGTGCTACCAGACAATGCTCAATATCTTTTTATGTTTTTCCTAGGTGGGGCATTTATTACCGTGATTTGTAAAAGATCTTTGTACATGAAGACTATCCTTTCACATGCTGCAAATATTTTTTCCTTACAAGTAGAGGAATAATGGGAACCAGCAGTTAGCGTAATGGCTATGTCGCTGGACTCCCACATAGTCGACCGCGGTTCGCGTCCTGGACCCGGTGGCTTAAAACTCACGCAGGGCGCGTGTGCGTGCGTGCCCAAGATCCCGAGAGGAGAATGGAGAAAGGATTACGGCGTGACCATCCCCTCAGGGGGGAGATTTCTCGCTTTCTGTCTCTATGTCTCTCTCTGTCTGTCTGGCGAGCGCACGCACCCTATAGCGAAAACCTCTACAAAAAAAAAAAAAAACAAGTAGAGGAATAAAAACACCAACTCAAGAGCACTGGCCTGCTGGGTTCAAAATCTGACACTTCCTAGCTATATATTTTGACAAGTTACTTAACACCTGTTATACATGCATATGAGAATGATATTATCTATCTCTTGAGATTTTTGTGAGGATTCACTGATTTTTACTTATGTAAGTTTGGTTCATCTAGCTAAAGTGTTCAGAACAGTACTGAACAAATATGAAACTTGATGTTGCTGTTCCCTATGAAAATGATGACATCACCACATATGCAGCCACTGTATTTCTGAATACAGTAATCTGGTAATCAAAGATGTGTTTAGAAATACCTCTTTAATAGACAAAAGCATAAATCAAATGTTTCCAACTTCTTGCACATGAGGAAAAGCTTTAAAAAAGATCCCTGGATACAGGGATATATGGTCCAGTGACTCAAAACTGATTCTACAACACGGTATTATTCTAAAGTCATACTTTACTTTAAAAATCTATAGTTTCTTGTATTGCTATAAAAATACCAAGATGAAACTCTTCATTTTGCTAAGATATGCAAACAGGGCTAGTGCAACAGTCTGCACAATCTATACTTTCTAAGCACTCAACCAACCCCAGTTCTATGAGATGGTGTTGTCTTTCAAAGTTCTGAGAGTTCAGATGCCTGTACCCTTTGAAAGCCCGACTTTCTTCCTTTCTGTAATACTTATGAAATTAACCTGTCTTTTCAGAAGTCTTGTCGGATGTTTTCTTTGTTTGCCTCTCCATGTTGCTGTTTAATTTGATAGATCTCATTTTCTAATTGCACAATAGTCCGTTCAATCTCATAATTCTTACTGACCAAGGAAACCCAGCTAGAAAAGAAGGGGGGGGGGACAAAAAAAAAATAAAAGATGGGAATTAGAATTTTCTAAAATTTCTCTTAGAAAACTTTATTTTAAATATGTATATAGTGTGCCATAACACTAACCTTTAACTTTACACTTTAAAAAAATGAGGGCTAATCATGAGAAAGTAGGTAAAGGGTATACAAAAGACCTCTGTAGTCTGTCTTATGTCTTATATAAAATGTACAACTAAAAGTAAAAAGTTTAATTAAAAAAAATTAAAAACAGCCAAAGAGAAAATTTTTAAGACAAAAGAGAAAGGAAAGAG